GGTACCGAACTTATCTCGCAACAGAGAGTGGCATCAGAACCCTCCATGTCATTTTTCCGTATCATAAGATTCGCACTAGGGGTAGAGGTCCCTCCCAGGCGTATGCCTAGAAACACGGATACGCTTGAAAACAATGTCAGTAGGGAGGGCAGCTAAACAGCAGTGCAACGGCTTCTGGACTGGAGAGCAGATTGTCTGCGCTAAATCAATCCATTATAGAGGCATATCACAGCTGCCGTCCCCTGCAGACGACCACCAAGAACAGCTGTGGTTCTGCTACCTACAACAAGAAGATAAGGAAGAAGGTAATCAAACAGACAGCTAAACAGACTCTGCTTCAAATGACAGCAAAAGGGTTTGGCAGACGGAATGTAATCTCGCCCCAGCATATGAAGGCTTTAAGTGATGAAATGCTGCTGGCTCTTCTCCCAAGAGACAGCATTACCAATGTAGTAAGCTTCACTAAGAAGTTCAAAATTACCCTTGGCAGTAAGGGAATAATTCCACGCTAGACCTACTGCTAAGGGAAAGCACTATCAAGTGGTACACCGACGGCTCGAAAACGTCGAGCATCTTCCAAGAACTTTGCATAGCGGTTGGTCCACATACCATATAGGAGCTGCTCCGTAATGAGGAAAGAGTAGGCAGGGAGAGACAGTATATTGGAGTTCATCAATGTGCTGGTGCTAAGTGAGTCGTTGTGACTATTGTATATTTATAATCAATTAACTGGCTAGTCGGTCATGTGGTCCACACTAGTGCCAAGTAGTTCAACTTACATTTCATATGTGTACATAAATAACTATGTATGAAAACCTACATACATACATATGCATGTATGTATGTTAACAACTGCATTTGCTGAATTCTTTGTGAATTTGTATGTTCGTAGGAATACTGAGTAGAGTCTACCTAAGTATTTTAAGACAACGTCAAGTTTTGAACAATAAGAGTCCTGAAAGCTTAAAAAACAAAAAAAGCAATATAATAGAATAGTATAAAATGTATAATTGTTTAAAAAATTCGAAATGAACAAAACAAAGCAACCGATTAAAAAAGTAAGTAAAAACAAAAATAGCAGAGTAAAACACATTAAAGTGTTGTTCAACTCAAGTTTTCACAGACTGGCAGAAAATCCGTTTAGTTGGTAATACAAACATACAAGGTGCGTTCCAAAGTAAACAGTAAAAAAGTAACAAAGTAAACTCTAGTGGCGCCATCTATATGTCGAGTCCTAGTCCGTTAGAATCTACTATCCTTTATCGACTTCCAGTAAAAATTTCATGACATTTCATCTATTGGAAAGGAAGTGGTTGCGTTTTAAGTGTCAGTAAGTTCTTGCCATCGGTGCGAAAATGAGCTTCGAACAAAGAGTCAACATTAAATTTTGTTTTAAAATTGGTAAAACTTTTACCGAAACGTTTCAATTGATGAAACAAGTTTATGGTATACGAGCGGTTTCAACGTTTTCAAAGTGGTCGTGAGGACATAAATGAAAAATGAGCCGACACCCAAAAAAAAAACGCGCCTGGAGAAGTCAAAAGTGAAGACAATGATGATTTGTTTTTATGATTCCAAGGGTATTGTCCACAAAGAATTTGTTCCACCCGGCCAAAACGTTAATACGGTATTCTACCTTGGAGTTTTGAAGCGTTTGGTGCGCCGTATTCGACGTGTTCGGCCCGAATATCGCGAAGATGGAAGTTGGCGTTTGTTGCACGATAATGCGCCGTCTCATCGATCGACGCTTGTGGCCGATTATTTGACCAAAAATCACATTTTAACAATTATCCACTTCCTGTATTCACCTGATATGGCACCGTGCGACTATCTTTTCGGAAAAATGCATTTGCCGATGAAAGGAAAGCGTTGTTCAGACGTGGAGGCCATTCAAAAGGCTTGCACCTGCATACTGGCGGCCATACCGTGCAACGAGGTAAAACACTCGTTCGACATGCTTTTGGACCGTGCAAAAAGCTGTATTAAAGCAGAAAGAGACTATTTTGAATAAAATTAATTGATTTTGCCGATAAAACCATTTGTTCTGTCTTGTTTTTAAAGTCCTGTTTACTTTGGAACGCACCTTGTATGTATGTACTTTCACATGCATTCACACATACGGCTGTTTTCAAAATACTAATGGTGGGCAAATTAAAAGCAACTATTTGTAATCTTGCTTTGTAATTGTTAATACGAATTACCGCTTTTAATTAGACTCTCGGTAGAATTCTGCCGCTACAACAACAACAACAACCGCTTTTAAAAAACTAACAATGCATGAAGAATAAAACAAGCCCAATAAGGAATTGGAACAATAGTGAAAATTTACAATATAATAGTAACTACTTTATATGAGTGAACGAACACTGAATACAGCACAAAATATACTAGTAAAACAGTGAAACTTGAACAATAAACAGGATATCGCCGGTTTCCCAATGGAATATGGATTTTGGGTCAAACGAATTGAAATCATTCCTTGGTCAACGTCAGGGTTGGGAAGGTTTGAATTAAAACACTTTGGTTTAAGTGTTAAATTTTTACTTTTTAGTCCCGATGTTGGGATTAAACTTTTTTTTAATCCGGTATTTAAATTTAAAATTTTTTTTGTCCAGCGTATTTGGGATTTCAAATTAAAAAAATTAAATCACGTTTATTTAGTAATTTTTTAATGCATTATTTGCAACCCTGGACAGCATAGTCTCCTAACTTTATAAAAAACTACTTGTACTTAAGCTTGTACTTGTCTAATGTCATTTCCGTTTCCGGTTTTACTACCAAATATTGAAACCTCCAAAATGTGTAATATGTATATACTTAGTTTAACATTTCCTTTTTTTATATTAACGTTCTAAAATATATTTGAAATTTAACAAATTTTTAAATTTTATATTGATTTTCTTAAACAAGGATGACATTGACTGGAGCACTACCATTATTGTGAACAGAGCTGTATACATTTTAAATGTCAACATAATAACGTTAATTATTTATGTACATACATATTCGTCTTACAATTAAGAATTTATGCTCGATATAAATTTACAGGTTGGGATTTAGAATAGCATCCCCCGGGATTAAAATGGGTATGAACGGATAGAGAATGTTCTCTAGTTGCCGCTGACATATGGTTTTCTAGATATTTGCATTTAAAATTAAAAAATGTATATATTTAAAGTTTGATTTATAATGAATTAAAAAGAAGTTCTGCGCGAAAGAACTGAGCACACCCCGGTGTTGGACCGACAAGGTTTTTTTTTTGAAGCGTACTTGTACAAAGGAATTCCAACCTAAAAACTATAATGTGTTATTTATTTCCTGCTATTCGAATATTATCTGTTTTCTTTATTCCTTTTGGTTCCTTTATAAATATGTAGATAAGGTAACACTGATTATCTGTTTGAATGCGACCTTTTTGATTAAAAAAAAGAGAACAAAAAATATATTTTTGCACTTTTTCATATTAAGTAAATGTGTGGAAACTAATTAGTGAAGTGTTAGTGGATTTAAAAATTTAAAAATTAATGAAAAATTATTATAAATCGAAGAAATATGCACTTTAAATAGTTGAAGTTTTGAACTTTTAATGCAAATATCTCATAAGCCATTATTCAGCGGTAAGTATATACCCATTTTAACCCCGAATTCGGGGGATGCTATTCTAAAATTTACCCCAAATGTAACATTTAGAAAACTACAACTTTATCTCTAATCAAATATGGCAGGTAGAGGGTCGGCTTTAGTTTAGCTTCCCACGATTTCAGGGTTAAGAGGGCTATGGTTGGATAGAGGAGATTCTCCAGATCACGAATATACATAATTATTGCCGCCGAAAACTTTTCGACCCATTTGTTATTGTTCATATTACGAAAATTGTGTAAAAATAAAATTCTTATTTAAAGCAAATACTTAAATATTTAAGATAACATAAATATGTAGAAACATTGTAGTGAAGTGTTAGTGTGTAATAAGTGCATAATATAAAAGAAAAGATAACCATAAATCCAGAAATTGTGAAATGAAATTTGTGAAAATTTCAACTTAAAATGTAAATATCTCGAAAACTATAAAATCCGGCGGCCATCATTATATATATTCGTGATCTGGAGAATCTCCTCTATCCAACCATACCCCTCTTAACCCTGAAATCGTGGGATGCTAAACTAAAGTTTTCCCCAGGTAGATACAAAACTTCTTTTTTTTATACATTGAAATACATTTTTGGTAAATGTATAGTTTAGGTCCCCCACATAAGAAGGCCTCAAAAAAATTTTTTTTTTAAATCGTCCTATTTTTATGCGTAGATTACAAATCCGTGAGCGGAAAGTGAATTTTTTCAATAATTTATGTATATTTTTCAATATTTATTTACACACTTTGCACATATCACATATTCAAGTCACTTAGTTGTTGTTGTTGTAGGGGCAAAATTCTGTAGAATTCAGAGCACTTAGCAGTAATTACCAGTTCAGTGTGTTAAACATTTTCTTATGAAAAAAATATACTGAAGAAATGTAACAGTCAAAATTTCTTTTGTGCCGCGATTTGATGGTATGAACGAATATCGGAGATCGTCGAACTTCTTACCGCACTGGCGGCCTTCGGCCGCGCTTCAAAACAATAACCCTGGTCAGTCAAAAACCGGGGTGTTCATAATTCAATCGCGTCAAACTCCATTCTGCACAAACAGCAGCGAAAAGGAGTTTAACGCGATTGAAAAAAATAGAAATATTGAAAAAATTTACTTTCCGCTCACGGATTTGTAATCTAAGCGTAAAAATAAGAATATTTAAAAAAAAAAATTTTCAATTTTGAGGCCTCCTTAGTTGGGGGACCTAAACTATACATTTACCACATTTTTTGTCCTTTTCAATTATTTTCGATACCACAATAACAGATAGTTCCATATGTACTTACTCGTACATACATACTTATATACGCTTTTAAAAACTTGATTTCTTTCATTGGCGCGGTCAATAGCATGTGAGATGTAGCGATTGAGAAGACAAATGAAATTGTTCTCTTGATAGCAATTCACTATTCTCTTTAGAGAAACTATGAAATTGTCGAAACAATTGTACACAAACCAAAAGTATTTACTTCAAACTTTTTTATTATATTATTAATATTTTATATATTTATTTTTGTACGTGTTCGGGCATATTATTATTTTTTTTTACCGAAAAATCATTTCTTAGCCATTAACGTACATTGATGTCGAAAACGAATCAAAAGCATAAAAACGGTAGCAAAGCTGCTCATCAAATGAAAACCGTTAAAAAAAACTTAACATATTGGTCTGTAAAACTTGTGTGTGCACATTTTAACGAACGTTCACATTTCCTGCTCTATAACTGATTGGCATTCATCATCCGTAGCGACGGCACACAAAGTTCCAACGCGGTCATTATCGTATGTATGATCATCACCTGTTTTCTACTGTTTATATTTTCTAATTATTATTGTTAGGTATTTTCTAGTTGTTGCAGTAACAAGCTGTGGCGTCGCCCTTTTTGTTTTATTCTCCCAGGGTATAACGATTGGTAGTATGTCGGATTCACTCCAGTCTATTATTAATGATTACTTTTCTCTTGAAATTTAATTTTCATTCTAGCATATTATCTTTTCGTTATATTATACAACTTTTCACTTTGCTTTTTAATATCAAAAGTTGAAATTCACCTCAAATTTTGTATTAATAGCTTCTTTATTCGATATACAAATGTACATATTTAACTGCACAATACTAATAACCAAGAACCGCACTACTAAACCGAAGAGGAAACGTCAAATTGCACGATGCGCACTCAGTACACTGTTTATTCGTTGTTGCTGCCGCAGTCATTGACGACAGGCACATTTGTTTTTGTTTTGTTCTTTATACCTGCAGAAAGCATTCGCGCGGGCAAAACTACAGATGCCCTCTTTTCACACATACAAAACGGCTGAATATAGAGAGCGCCAAACTGAAAAGACCCTCCCAAACAGTCTAAATGAAACAGTGTTGCATTTTGTAGTATACAGCGATTAAATACTACATCATAACGTGCATTTTTAGGTAAATTGTACAGAAAATTACTGACGCACAACATTATATGGTCTTCTTTCTGGTCAGTGACTTCTATAACCAAACTTTATAAATAAAATGATATTTTAGATGGCAAACAATATGTAACATAGTGTATTAATAATCTATAATACTCTTTGTATTCATAATACTGCGCTTTTTGCTTGTATATATGTATAAATTTAGTTTCCAAATATCAAAATGCTTTGGTAAAATAAAATAAAAAAAACTAAATGATTGAACTGTCATTGAAAGTTTCAGGTCAAATGACGTTTGGTCGCTGACTAATGAAAAAGGGGAAACTCCTATGGTTTCCCTCCAGTTGCACACCCTGCGCATATACATTCACAGATCAAAAAATATATGTACATATTCCTTATACTATGCAATCACATTTCCTCTCATATTGCCGGTTAACAAAACGGTGCAACGTTATGATTAAAAAAAAAAAA